AGGATGTGCCCTGTACAGAGGGAAACATGTAAATAATATTCTGTGTAATGTGTAAACGATGATCGCGTTCCTTCATTGTTATATTTAATAAAAGCTCTTTTCTTATTATCTATCGCTTTTGTAACTTTGGCCGTAAGCCACATAGGTTTGATTTTTAGCCTTTTATACTTGTTGCCCATAGGAATATATTTTGCAGTGTGGTCACATACAGTCTTTTTTTTTTTTTTTTTTTTTTTGTTTACAAACGGTTTTATTCTTCAAAGGTAGACTGTAAAACAACAGTACAGTTTCAAGTAATGCGTACATCAATAACAAAGCACATTTGAAAAGTACATTTCAGAAGAGTACATATATGTAAAAGAGATAGATAGAAGGAAAAAGAAAGAGAAAAGATTTTAGGTACATGAGAAACGGGAACAATAAAGTGGGTCGAAAGACCCATCTGCCAATAGTATATGCCAAATAACCTTCAAATGGAATGCTTTTTAGTCCTGTAATAAATGTCTATGAACCCTCCATGATTCCATTTTTTTATCGAATAAGTGCATCTTATCCAGCAAAGTATAATGAATATGCTCCATGAGCATCAACTCTATGTAAAACAGAGGCCAGGGTACAGTGATGGATTTCCAATGTAGAGCAATAGACCATAAAGTAGAAATACAAATGGTATATATATCAATCTCATAACAGCATCAGAGACCCCCGGGATACGAGCTCCCAGTAAACAAGACTGTATAGTCAGACATACCGGGGCACCTACCAATGAAGCAGCTACCTCAGATATTCTACACCAAACCAATATAGTTGGGCAAGCCCAAAACGTGTGAATCAATGTGCCCGTGAGGCCAGGGCCCCGGAAACATAACGGGGACGTTTGTGGGTACAGTACATGTAGCCTTGACGGGGTATAATACCATCTGGTTAATACCTTGAGGGCCGTCTCACGGACAGAAAGAGATTGAGAGCTCTTACATATGTTATCCACCATGGAATCCAAATCGTCATCTGAGAAAGTGATACCACTATCCTCCTCCCACCCTTTTTCTATATAAAGGGGGGGGTGGTGAGAAACTGATCAAAAATTGGTGATAAAGATCTGAGATAAGACCCCCTACCCCTAGGAGAGTCACGGCTAATATATGTTCAAAGAATGAGATCGGAGAAGAGGGTATGAGGCCAAAATGTGACTGAAAAAAATGTCTAATCTGTCGATAAAGATGGTACTCTCGAAGCAGCACCTCAAAAAGTACACGCAGCATATCAAAGGTAATATAAGATCCTCCCCTTTGAAAATCAGATAATCTAATAAGAGATCTGTCATACCACCAATGAAACGCTTGAGGAGAAGAAAACGCCATAATAAAGTATGGATCACCAAAAAACGAAACACCCGGAGAAACAGAAGAGACCAGATTTTATTTAAGTGTATATTTGAACCAAAGTGTCAGTGAATGGGCAACTATAGAGTTGTAAAAAGTGAATGATCGAGGGGGGATTCTGGACCACAAAATACCCGGTAAGTAAAATGGTCATATAGATTGAGATTCAAATCTAATCCACGGGGTCTGAGAATTTACAATCGCCCCATTGTGATAATTGTGGAAAATAGGCTGAGAGGTAATATAGCCAAAAATTGGGAAGACCAAGGCCCCCCGTCCGTTGTGAGCTGTACAGAGCAGATGAGATAAAGCGTGGATGTTTATTACACCAGATAAAATTATTAATAACCCGCTGAAAGCGATCCAGAATGTTTTTGAGACCGGGACTGGAAGTGCTCTAAATAGGTTAAAGTAGTTTGGGCAAAAATATTCATTGTGACTGCCGTGACTCTACCCAGGAAGGAGATGGGGTAACCATGCCATATCTTCAATAGAGTAGAAAGGCGCGACACATGGGGGGTAATTAGCAGCAAATGTATCTGATTATCTGGGAGTGAGATTAATACCTAAATAGGAAATCCGATCCGTGTGGCCCAACGAAATGGAAAAGAACTACGGAGAGAGGCACTCAGGGAGTCAGGAATATTAACAGGCATAACCACTGATTTGGTAAAGTTAACAGTTAAGACCTGACACTTTAGCAGTCATTCAATAATATTAGAGATGAGCGAAATTTTTCAAAAATTTGATTCGCCTGATTCGCCGAATTTTCCGAAAAAATTCGATTCGATTCGAATTTATTCACCGCGAATTTTACTTATAAAAAGGGTTTCTAGGCTTCAGAGAGCCTTTATATTAGTGCAGAACACTGTACCTTTAATTTAAATGCCCTTGGAGTCTGCTGGGGAAGAGAAATAATACTGTCAGTCAGTATGACATGCAGATGAGTGCCGTCGATCTTAGAATCACCGCACACTTCACTCATTTGGGCAGTCACAGGGCCAAAGAAGAAGAAGGAGAAGAAGAAGAATGAAAAGAATGAAAAGAAGAAGAATGAAAAGAATGAAAAGAAGAAGAAGAAGAAGAATGAAAAGAAGAAGAAGAAGAAGAATGAAAAGAAGAAGAAGAAGAATGAAAAGAATGAAAAGAATGAAAAGAATGAGAAGAAGAAGAAGAAGAATGAAAAGAATGAAAAGAAGAAGAAGAAGAATGAAAAGAATGAAAAGAAGAATGAAAAGAATGAAAAGAAGAATGAAAATAAGAAGAAGAATGAAAAGAAGAATGAAAAGAATGAAAAGAAGAATGAAAATAAGAAGAATGAAAAGAATAAAAAAGAAGAATGAAAATAAGAAGAATGAAAAGAAGAATGAAAAGAAGAATGAAAAGAATGAAAATAAGAAAGAAGAATGAAAAGAATGAAAAGAAGAATGAAAAGAAGAATGAAAATAATGAAAAGAAGAATGAAAATAAGAAGAAGAATGAAAAGAAGACTGAAAAGAATGAAAAGAAGAATGAAAATAAGAAGAAGAATGAAAAGAAGAATGAAAATAAGAAGAAGAATGAAAAGAAGAATGAAAAGAAGAATGAAAAAGAAGAAGAAGAATGAAAAGAAGAATGAAAAGAATGAAAAGAAGAATGAAAATAAGAAGAAGAATGAAAAGAAGAATGAAAAGAATGAAAAGAAGAATGAAAATAAGAAGAAGAATGAAAAGAAGAATGAAAAGAATGACAAGAAGAATGAAAAGAATGACAAGAAGAATGAAAAGAATGACAAGAAGAATGAAAATAAGAAGAATGAAAAGAAGAATGAAAAGAAGAATGAAAAGAAATGAAAAGAAGAATGAAAAGAGAAGAAGAATGAAAAGAAGAAGAAGAATGAAATTTATTATTATTATTTATTTATTTATGAAATGATATTTATTTTTGTTCTCTTGTTTTAAAGTTTTTTTGCTTGTGATGGCAAATATATTGGATACATTGTATATCCTTTGTGGACTCCTGTCACCTGTGGGGCGGCTTGCTTTGCTTGATTCCCCATTGATGTCAGCTGTTCGTTTCCTGTGAGTGAATATTTAAGGAGGTTGAGACGTCTCACATCTATCCGCTCCGTGAGGACGTCGATGACGAAACGCGTAGGACGGAGCTTGATTGATGTGACGTCATTACGTTTTTGGCTGCCAGCTACTGCGCATGTGCTGAGTAGCCAGGCTCGTTTATGTGATTGCTGTTATGCTGTTGATGCTGGTGTCGGCTGGGACACCTCTTGAGTAAGTGCAATGAGTACCTAATAAAGGAATTGGTTTTTATAATATTGCACCATGAAGTCTTTCTGTTTCTCTCGAGTGCTTGGCATTTCCCCCCATAAATACGTTTGAAGGTGGTCCTTTATCTATTGGAGAAGTGGATTTTCGATTAACTACAAAGTTTTTATCCTGTTAATTCGATCGATGAGGATCGGTGTGCTGCAGAGTTTTCCGTTTCTGAAGATATATTTATGGATGATCTGCCATTATATTATCAAGGTTTTTTGGTGAAATTTTTTTCATATTTAGACACTTTTTTTTTTTTTGCACAAAAGTTTTTTGCACTTAAAAGTTTTTTTTTTTTGTTTTTTTTTATATTTTTTTTTGTGGTATTGGCATATATATATTTTTTTCTGGACTTATGATTTGATGATTTCTTTATATATATTTATATATTTATACACATTTACTAGCGCAAATTATTTATTTATTGGTACACTTTATATATGGTGATTTTTTGCAGCTGGTACACTATTAGTAAGTTATATAATTTTGACCATAGGCGCTATTATTAATTTTTCTTACCCTGGGAGTACAGCACAGCACGGCCACGTGTCTGTGCTCCCCCATGTTCTGAGAGACATATGGGTGCATCCACACAGGACAGAGCTTGTCCCACCTGGCCTATTATATGCAGTGTCCAGGTGAGAAGCGGATCATTAACACAGTGATTTCCTATGATGGCCAGCTCCATCTAGTGGTGATAATGCTGTATTTTCCTGAAATACCTTCATAAGGAAAGCCACTAGATGGATCTGATGATCAGAGGAAATCTCTGTGAATTGGAGCGACATTTTTCACAGAGGGCGAATTCTGGTCACATTTAATAAACACAATATTAAATATCGACCTCTAAGTGTTTGTGAAATCTTCCACCACAAATTGTACTCAGCCAATGACAGGTCAGGACTCCATTTTTATTCTTCTGCCATCAATGGCCAACCCGGTCCCACACTTCATTCATGTCTTTGGTGACCTCTGATCTCCTTATGAACTGTTCCTTCCATGATGAAGATCAGCCATGGAGTATATCTGAGGTGTATATCAGGGTGTGCTTCTTCCCCACATGAGAGCTGGGATGTCCAGCAACCTTCATCTAGAAGACATTTCCCGCACTCAAGGCACTAATACATCTCCAGGGTTGTGTGGGATCCCTGATGTACAGGAAGACAGGACTTCAGTGAGGAACATTTCCCTCACTCAGGACAGGAAAGTGGATTCTTCCCCGTGTGAGATCTCTGATGTTTGTAAAGATTGGACTTGTCTGAAAAACATTTCCCACACTCAGGACAGGAATATGGCTTTTCCCCAGTGTGAGATCTCTGGTGTTTGACAAGAGCAGATTTTTGAACAAAACATTTCCCACACTCTGAACAGGAATATGGCTTCTCACCTGTGTGAGATCTCTGATGATTATAAAGACTGGATTTATCTGAAAAACATTTCCCACACTCCGAACAGTAATATACCTTCTCCCCTGTGTGAGATCTCTGATGTCTGTAAAGATTGGAGTTCTTTGAAAAACATTTCCCGCACTCAGAACAGAAATACGGTTTTTCCCCTGTATGAGATCTCTCATGTATAACAAGTTCTGATTTTTTAAAAAAACATTTCCCACACTCAGTACAGGAATACAGCTTCTCACCTGTGTGTAATCTCAGATGTCTAAATTGAGAAGACTTGTTTGAGAAACATTGCCCGCATTCAGCACAGGAATACAGCTTGTCACCCATGTGAGATCTCTGATGTCTGTAAAGGTGTGACTTTGCTGAAAAACATTTCCCGCACTCAAGACAGGAATATGGCTTCTCACCTGTGTGAAGCCTCTGATGTGTTTGAAGATTAGACTTTTGTGAAAAACATTTCCCACACTCAGGACAGGAATACGATTTTTTCACCTGTGTGAGATCTTCTATGCACATTAAGTCCAGAGTTAGAATTGAAACATTTTCCACACTCAGTACAGGAGAAGCTCTTCCCTGTTGGAAGGCCGGGCCGGTCCCGCACAGTCTGAGGTTCCTCAGGATACGAGGAATCGATGGTCCATCTACACTGGGTGGTGCCGGATGGACATTGGAGGGAGCCGGGTTTTCTCCTGGACTATACTGTGTGATGTCCTCATCTTCTACTTTCCAGTCTGGAGACAAAGTGAGACAATCCTCAGAGGTTTTCCTCATCTCCCGGCCATGGACTAAAATACAAAGACAAAGAGGATTACTAGACAGGGGCTGATTGGTTCCCCAAACAAGGACTCCGCCCACATCAGGCAGCTTGGTCTCTGAGGAGCTTACAATTCCACCCTCAAGGGAACTAGGAAATGGCTCCTCTGATCTCCTACCAGGTCATTTCTTTATTCATGGACCTTAGTCAGAGAGTGAGGAAACAACCAGAACTGTCTTTTATAGGAGGGACAGTGATGAGGGGATTATAGGACGAGGGTCCCCACCCCCTCTATCACTCATCGTCATCTTCCCAACACAAGAAGTACTGCACTTCCTTATTTACTCCATGATTTAGTCATTAAGAACAGCGGGGCTGAGCCCCACCAGAGGTCAGAGAGTGAGGATGGGGGGAGAACAACCAAGATGAAGACTGGACTGATCCTAAAGACCACCATCATTGGGGTATTGACTCCACCCTCATTAAAAGTCTGTGCTCCGATCAAAACACCAGATATAAAATGTCCAGCTGGTAGGAAATGGGTGTAACAATGAGAATCCATATTATGTGTAAATATAGCAGTGGGTAGAAAATAGAGAGCAGAAGTCAGGACTATGAAATGTACAACAACGAGTCCTGAGGAAGTCACGAGGTCACGTGATGCAACGCGTCGACGGCAATACGTGGTGACGCACTTCCGGCGCGGCGCCATCTTGGAACACCCTTCAGCCACACGCTTACACCCATGGTGTGGGAACTAGCTGTATTTCATCTTGCTGATGTAAGTGTGCACAGTATTCAGTTTTAGATCAATTAAAGCGGTTTTACACTATGGAGGATGTCTTCTTCTTCTTTTATCCTATTGGGATTTGAGTTGGGATCCACCCTGCTCATTTGACCTTTGAGGATATTACAGGAGAGGTGGAATCAGTGTACTGGGGATATATCTTGAAGCCATTTACCCAAGAGGAAGGTTATCCTGATCCAGTGGTGATCTTACATGCTCTGTGGCCCTGCAGGGTCGCAGATAGGAGGTGAGAGGCCATTCCAGCCGGTTTTGGATTGCACTTCAGGGTGTGCGGGTCCACACACAGTCCATTGATTCTGCATGAGTGGAAGGAATGTGAAACGGATCACTGGACTTTTTTTGATATGTGCACCGTGTGCAGGGGTCTCACATGTGTTTAATTATACTTATCTAGTTCCATCACGCACTATTCTATCTTTTTACATGTTAATAAGTGTGTCACTACATTGACTATGTGCTTAATATGACTTATTAACAGAGTATTTATATAATTTTCTTGTTTTAGCACTACATCCCTTTTTGTTTTTTACAACATATTGTATAAGATACAGCAGATAGGACTATATAGTATCAGAATTATATATATATATATATATATATGTGTGTGTGTATATAGTGCAGGGGTCAGGAGTATGTAATGTACAACATAGAGTATACAGTGCAGGGGTCAGGAGTATGTAATGTACAACATAGAGTATATAGTGCAGGGGTCAGGAGTATGTAATGTACAACATAGAGTATATAGTGCAGGGGTCAGGAGGATGTAATGTACAACATAGAGTATATAGTGCAGGGGTCAGGAGGATGTAATGTACAACATAGAGTATATAGTGCAGGGGTCAGGAGTATGTAATGTACAACAGAGTATATAGTGCAGGGGTCAGGAGGATGTAATGTACAACATAGAGTATATAGTGCAGGGGTCAGGAGTATGTAATCTACAATATAAATTATACAGTGTAAGGGTCAGGACTCATAATATTGGTATTCAGTTATCTGTAGACTGTATCTGTTTACTGTAGACAAGTTGCAGAGATCCCACACCGCTGCCTCCCATCTCCTGAGACTGCACTCAGTGACTTGGGTCTGAGACACTACAGACATATCCCTCCACCCGGCACAGCCAGCAGATAACAGAGCAAGGAACCCTGGGACAATTGTTCTGTCAGAGATCTTACTAGACCAAGGCATGGGGAAAAAAAAGATACAAGACTCACACCCCAGGTGCCTAGGTCTAGTAATGCCTATGGTGAAAATCCACATTTTTCTGCCAGCTGAACCCCAGAACCTCCATAAATCCAGTCTAGAGACATAAATTGTGTCTGCAGCACAGAGAAGGAAGATTATCCGAGAGAAATCCAGGAATACAGGACGGGGAACACAGCTCAGGAAAGTGACCAGGGGATTACAGGCTGATATCACCCAGTCCCCGCCCTACTCTGGACCAATCAGTGAGCAGTATGGGTGGAGGAATGGATTTAGTGTTCATGACCCACCTGTGCTGATCTCTGTAGGAGTGTCCTCCTCTATAAATGTCCCCGTTATTCCATCCTCCTCCATAGACTGCTGATCATCCCTCACATACGCCTCTTCTTCTTCTGCTTTCACCTCAACTTTTATATCCATCAGATCTTCACCCTAAACCAAGAGAAGGAAAGAAAATAACATCTATAAGACATAAGCTTTAATATTGTTACATCACATAAAAAAATCCACACATCAACTCCATGAGTCCATGCTCTGGATGCTTCATCCCACCAACCTTGTAATGGTGAGGGATGGTGTGACCTTCCTGTGTGGAATCCTGTGAATACAGAGGATGGGGACAACTCTCTGGTGGGTTCCTGTAGCTGGATGACTCCACCATGGTGTCCTGGTACAGATCTTTGTGTTCTTTTAGACGCTCTGACTCCTCCATCACCCCATCCTCATCCTCCTCCTCTTTTATCTCCTTTTTAACCTCAACTTTAGGATCTCTCAGGTTTCCACTCTGAATATATAATAAAAATGACATCAATGGTAACAATGCAGATAATGTACAGATCCTAATGATACTATCAGTGATTGTTCCTCATCTACCTGATGATGGTGAGGGATGGTGTGACTTCCTGTGTGGAATCCCGGAATACAGAGGACGGGGACATCTCTCTGGTGGGTTCCCATGACTGGATCCATCTGTAGGAAACACACACACTGACTGAATCCATTGTTTCTATGTGTTTATCAGATGATGGGGGATCTAGGTGGATCCTCCGTACTGCTCTCTCCTTTACAATAAAGTCTCCTCTTACCCGGTGATGTGAGGGGCGGCTGATTGTCCATCATGACGTCCTTGTAGAGATCCTTGTGTCCTTCTAAATACTCCCACTCCTCCATGGAGAAATAGACAGTGACACCCTGACACCTTATAGGAACCTGACACACACAATGATACAGTCACCATCCAGACACATCCCTTGTCTGTTACTGGAGAATGTCCCAGAATTCCCGGCACCGCTCACCTCTCCTGTCAGCAGCTCAGTGATCTCTCTGGTGACTTCTAGAATCTTCTTCTTCTTTCTCTCTTCTATCAGGGAGGGAGGTGGAGGCAATGTGATGTCATATGATCTCCAGACTTCACAGGAGGAAAACTCTACATCTGAACACAAAGAGTCACATCAAATGATATTCCCAGAATCCTCCTCACCTCTCCATTCAGGTCTCCATTTATTATAGCCCCACTTGACTCCGGATGGAGGGACATTGGGAGGAGGAGCTGTGAGGTCACTGTGATGTCATAGGATTCTCTGACTCTGGATGGAGGGACATTGGGAGGAGGAGCTGTGAGGTCAGTGTGATGTCATAGGATTCTCTGACTCTGGATGGAGGGACATTGGGAGGAGGAGCTGTGAGGTCGGTGTGATGTCATAGGATTCTCTGTCTCTGGATGGGGGGACATTGGGAGGAGAAGCTGTGAGGTCAGTGTGATGTCATAGGATTCTCTGTCTCTGGATGGAGGGACATTGGGAGGAGAAGCTGTGAGGTCAGTGTGATGTCATAGGACATATAGACTCTGGGAGGGGGACATTTGGATGGGGGGAGATTTGAGGGGTCCTCTATATGAGACTCCCATGCAAACCAAATCCTTGTTCCTGGGTGCGTCCTACCTCTCCTAAACTGAAGAGTGAACTTTGACCTTTACCATCCAGAAATCTGTCCGGAATCTGTGGAAGTAAGCTGTCATGTGATCAGGTGAAGTGCTGGTGATATCAGGTGACGTGCGGAGGAACGGAGTGTAAATAGCAGACAATGTCTCCAGAGCCCCTAATGGTGGGGATGGATTTGGCGGCGTGCTGGTGCCAAGTTTCCTCCCCCCAGGGTCACTGCAGGTGTGGAGAAAAGCTGTGTAAGAGGATATGGAGGAGAGATGAGGAGGAGGAGATCCAGGAATCAGGAGAAAGGTCAGGGCAAGCAACAGACAAGTATGAAGACAAGGCGGTTGGCTGCACAAGCAGTGATGTAGGGGATAAAATCCTTTATTGGAATCCTTTACACACAATGTAGTAACACATGACAGCTCCAGGACAGGACAGAGGAACAGAAGATGTGTCACACCAATACAGGCTTAGTCATTACTGATTCTTATTTGTCCAGAACAGCTTTAAATAACATGTAACAGCTGATAAGGATTTGTCTGGAATCCGGGATAACAAAGTATACAACAACATGACATCATTAATATCATGACACATAAAGTGACAACAATCCCTGTAATATATGTGGTTCCTGGGACAGGTCACAGATATATGAAATGGAAACCAGCATGATAAGGAAGGATGAGTGACACCTTTTATTTGTTCAGTCCAAGCAGGGAGGTGGAGTCACCCACAATATAATGAGACAATAAATGAAACAATCCTACATAAACATGATAACATCCCACTCAGCACTCAGCCCTGGAGGGAGGTGTCTGCAAATGACAAATCCAAAGAACCTTCCATTTACATAGAACACAAAAGCATGTATTGGTGTGACGCGTCTTCTGTTCCTCTGCTCTGTCCTGGAGCTGTCATGTTATTACTACATTGTGTGTAAAGGATTCCAATAAAGGATTTTATCACTGCCCCTGTGACCACGGATCAGGCCGGCACCTACGTGTCTGTGGAGGGGTCATACACATTCCGCACTCACTTACAGACGTCTTTTTGTTTTTCCTGTAAGTCAGCTTTGGGAGCAAAATATATTATCATCAACTCCTCCCCCTGAAGGGGTTCATCTACATATTATTATTATTATACAGTATTTATAAAGCGCCAACAGTTCGCTCAGCGCTATACATTACAATGGGAGACAGTACATGAGACAATACAGTAACAATACAATACACGAGGGGTTCGAGGGCCCTGCTCCTTGGAGCTTACAATCTAGGAGGGAGGGGATAGTGATACAGGAGGAAGTGGCTGTGGGGGATGGAGTGGTGGGGAGAGTGGAGGAGATCAGCAGTTAGGTGAGGGTGGGGTAGGCTTCCCTGAAGAGATAGAGGGTAGGTGATAGTCTGATGGATTGGGGTAGTGAGTTCTAGAGGATGGTGGAAGCCCTGGAGAAGTCCTGGAGACGGGCTTGGGAGGAGGAGGCCAGGGAACCGGAGAGTAGGAGGTCTTGTGAGGAGCGGAGAGTATGTTTTGGGTGGTAGATGGATATCAGGTCGGTGATGTAGTTTGGGGCAGTATTATGAACAGCTTTGTACGTCAGTGTTAGTATTTTGAATTTTATGCATTGGGCAATCAGAAGCCAGTGTTACCATCCTCTGCTGCCAGATCCAGGAATGTCTCCTCTCTAACTTCCTTATTCATGGAACTTCCTGTCTGTACCCAACATCACTTCCTGTCTGTACCTGACATCATTTCCTGTCTGTATTCCATAGAGGCCTCCTGTCTGGGTAGAAGTGAGATCCCCACCTTGTGGAGCTCAGTGAGGTCCGAAATCCCTCCCCCGAGCAGTCATATATCTCTGTCCCCCTTGGTGGGAGTGGAGGTGACCCCTCTATAAGGATCTACAGTCCATACACACCCAGCACAAGGCCGGGGTCACACTACCAGACGCTTCTCGGGGCTGCAGTTCCTCTGAGCTCCACAAGGTGGGGATCTCACTTCTACCCACACAGGAAGTCTCTATGGAAGACAGGAAGTGATGTCAGGGATAGACTGGAAGTAGAGAGGAGACATTGGTGGAAGTGGCAGCCAAGGAGGCTGGTCTAGAGATGTTATTTTCCTATTACACCACGTACCGACCCTCCCCTCCATAGTCACGTTCCGTCCTCTTCCTCCATTGTCTCCCGTCCGTCCTTTCCTCCATAGTCCATCCGTCCTCTTCCTCCATAGTCAGTCCGCCCTCTTTTCCCCCATAGTCACGTCCCCCCTTCCCCCATGTCAGTCCGTTTTTCTTCCTCCATAGTCCCTCCGTCCCCTTCCCCCATAGTCACGTCCGTCCTCTTCCTCCATATCAATCTGTCCTCTTCCTCCCTATTCCGTTGCCTTTCCTCCATAGCCCCCCGTCCTCTTCCCCCAATACGTCCGCCCTCTTCCTCCATGTCACGTCCTCTCTGTGTCACTGTGACGTCTTTTATCTCCAGCAAAGATGATACACACATATTTAATGTGGGGGAAAACCCCAAAGAAACCCCTTCGGGCAGAACATCCCTCCTTCCCGGGGCCGGAACATTCCCTCTTGTGGTGGGTGGTTTCTCATAGGAGGGGGGAGCTCTCCTGGGTTCGGTTCCAGTGTTGCTCAGTGAATGGGCTGAATCAACCTTCTTTAAGTCAATGGGAGCCAATGCCAATATTTGGGCTAATAGAAAGGGGGTGTCAGACAAACACCCTGAGGGACATGCAATGCAGGAATCCCTTGGCGGGGGCGGGAGGTTTTAAATGGTTTAAAATGAACATTTAAATGTCCAACACTTTTAAATGGCATTTCTGGGGAGTTCCTAATCTTGGTAGGTGGTCCCAATCTCGGGGGGGGGGGGGGTGTTTCCTACCCTGGGGGATGTCCTAATCCTGGAGGAGGGGTTGCCCAAAACCTGGGGGGGGTTGCCTAACCATGGGGATGTCTGATCCTGGGGGGCTGTCCTTACCCGGGGGTGTCCAAATCCAGGGAGTGTCCTTTCCTAGGGGGGCCCTAATCCGGAAGTGCCCAATCTGGGGGGGTGTCCTAATTTGGGTTGTCCTATCCTGGGAAGTGCCCTAATCCTGGGGGGTGCCAAAATCCTGGAGGTTGTCAAATTTGGGGGGGGGTTTTTTTAATCCCGGGAGGTGCCCAAACGGGGGAGGGGCCCTAATCCTGGGGGGTTGTTCTATCTTGGGGGTGTCCTAATCCGGGGAGTGTCCCTATCCCCCTGTGAAGGGAATGTCTGTGTGTACGAAAGGGCTGCTGCAACGTGACACTTAAAAGGAATAGTTTTTTATCCTTTGCCTGCCGCAATTTTTGAGGAAAAAATTTTTTGAGGACAAAATGTTTTTTTTTAGTTTTTGCTCTAAAATTTTGTAAAAAAGTGATTTTATCTCCTGTACTGTGTGCGCAAATGGGCTGCAGCGTGGGCACTGGGGGGCGCACTGTGGGAAATTGTGGAGGCAACTGGTGGGTGGCAGGATGGATTTTTGACGGGCGTCACTGACGGGCACTGAAAGCACACTATATAAACACTGATAGGCGGGCAGGGTAGGCCCAGCCTGATGGGCGTGATGGGCAGCACTGATGGCACGGTGGGTGACCGAAAGGCAGCTCAGATGAGCACTGATATGTGGCATTGATGTGCACTGGAAGGGTCACTGGGGGTGGTATGATGAGCACTGACAGCGGGCACTATGGACATGACGGTGGGCACTGCTGGGGCTACACTGATCATCGTCCCCTGATGATCGTGTCCCTTTCCCTTGGGAAATCCCGTTTTAACGGCTCTCTTCCTCTGTCAGCGTGACGCCCCGGGAGAGGAAAGAAATGCCAATAACCGGCATTTCCGTGTTTACAGCGACAGCTGTGATTGTGTCCAAACATAGTGATCGCTCTTTGGCTCTTAATCATATCTTTGGCTCTTTCCTTTTATCGGTGATCCGCTATGTCCCAAGGGACCCCAGCACACCGCTGATCGCCCTTGCGCATCCCCGGAACCGCACACGCTTGGTTAGGAGTGAGAGGACGTCATATGAATCCTCCAGAACAAAAGAACCGCCTTGCATTGTCATTACCTTATTGCAGACGGAGGCAGTTAAATTACAAATTTTTGGGGAGTGTCTAAATTTTGGGGGGTTTCCTAATAATGGGGTTTTCCCCATTCCTGGGGGGGTTTTCATCCAGGGAAATCCTAACCCCGGTGGATGTCCCCAATCCTAAAGGACGTCCCAACCCTGGGGTATGCCTAATCCCGGGGGGGTTTTTCCCACCCTGGGGGGTTGTCCTAATCCTGGGGGGTTTCCTATCCCGGGGGTGTCCCCAAAACTGGAGGGGTCCTAAAACCCCCCCCGGAAGGGGCATCTTGATGTCAGAAAAGGGGGGCAGCAGCGCTGACCTTACAAAGGGAAAAAATGTTTATCGATTTGCCGCCCCGCAACTTCC